ACACACACACACACACAAATCACAAAATCTCCCACCACCATCAATTCTAGATCTCTTTCACACCCAGCTCTCTTGTCGTCAGTAAAGCCTCGATAACTTAATCCTATCCCCACCCAACCCACCCAAACCTTCTCCTCCCTTTCCCTCCCCTCCCTCTCCCATCCACCCAACCTTCCCTCCCCTCCTTCACCCACCTCATTTCTCTCCTCCCCTCCCTCACCCACCCTTCCCTCTCCTCCCTCACCCTCCCAACTTCACCCTTTCTCATAGACGTTTTTATCATCGTCAGGCTCTATCAGTAGCCGATCGTTTTATTACATTTGCCCTCTACGTCGATGACATTAGTAACTCAAACGACAGTTCGCCTCTCCACCTCGCCCGCTCCCGCCACCACAGAATCAGCTGTAAGCTGGAGGCAAGACTTACCGCCCCTGTGCCCTGCCAGACTGCTTTCGACACAGCGCAAGTGAGATAAGCTGTGGCGAACCAGAGCGAGCTCAGTGGATGGTTGACATTTTGGTTCCGGGAGTTGTACGCGCGTTTCGTTGACATCACCAATAGTTCAGAGTTACATCTCGACTTGATTGTCTTCAAACTTAGTTTACTCTTCTCATTTTTCTGTGTTTGCTGTTTTTTTTTCTAACGAGTACCAAAAAAAACAAAAAAACGAAAACTACTCTGGAAACCTGGCGTTTGTTTCGATTCTTAGTTATTTTTTGGGTTATCGTCGTGAAGGCCATGTTGGGATCTTGTTAGAAGCACAGAAAACGTGTTAATTAGTAGCTGCAACTATAAGAGAGAAATTATTATTATTTTTATTTTTTTGCGTATGTGAAACGTGTTGCATCGAATTAGGTCGGATTGTAAAATTGTTTTTCACCTGGACGTGTTTTCTGTGTGTTGGACTAGCTCGACTTCTCAAGTGGGTAGGTGGTTCATAATGATTTTTCTTTTACATATTAATGTGTCACAGATCACCTTATGTTTGTTTCCTCTGAAAGTAAAATCTTCTGTTGGAAATTCGTAACCTTGACCTGGCACATCTTCAAATGTTTGGTGTTAGTCATTGGCAAGCATAATATGTTATTGATAGACAGGATATATTTAAATCTATTTTAACTCAAAGATCATGATTCATGTCTCTTTTTCTGACATTTCCCCTTTTTCCTCACATACATTCAGACAAAAACAAAATGCACTTCCGATGATATACAGTCATACTTAACACGGCATTCCACTTTTGAAAGGGTTATTTTAGATTCTTTTGTTGAATTCTTCATATTATACAAAGCACCCCTCAAAGAAAGATTTGCAGTTCAATTAGACAATTAGATGTATACAGATACTTCGACAGATATATAAATAGATAGATAGATAGATAGATAGATAGACAGATCGATAGATCGATAGATCGATAGATAGATAGAAAGACAGACAGACAGTCAGATAGACAGACAGACAGACAGACAGATACAAAACACTGTGTAAGACGACCACTTGTCTAACACGGTCTCTTTTTTTCTTGTCAATGGCAGCGGATGAGTGTTGTAGTGTGTAGGTTTGTGTGTGCCTGTGTGTGTGTGTGTGTGTGTGTG